ATAATGCTTCACATAAAACAACGAATGTTATGAAAGAAATGATCAGTTAGAAATCAAAGTTTCCTACTAGAACAGTTGAATTGAAGAATACATATCTAAAAATGAAACGTAAGTGTTCAATGTGTGATGTTTGGATGTTGAGTTCATGTGCCAGAAAAATCACCAATAAATTGTACGATTATGCAGTGGAAAAAAAGATTAAAATAGATGAGAGTAGCTCCTTCATTTGTCAACGATGCTACCACAAACTATATGAACCCAATGATGCCGTGACCGAAGAAGCCGTTGCAGGACCATCCAGAATCGCTGCTGCAGGTACGTTATTTGAAAATTTATGTGATTCTTCTTTAAATTTCAATTCTTTTCTTCTAACTACTAACTTAAACTCTTCTTTTTTGCAATCATTTTTCAGAGTCCATCGAAGCAACCAGCATTGAATCAATTTCCGTTGCGGGACCGTCCAGAATGGTTCCTTTTCCCTGCCAAGGTAAATAATAAAAAATAAATCATTTGTATGTTTTTTTTCTAATAATCAATCATTTTTTATATTTATTTTCAGAATCAGTGGAAACAACCAGTTCTGAATCGATCGTTACCACCTACAACGCACCTTTGTCGGACGAAAATGAATTCCTTATACAACTTAAGGATAAATATAAAGAAACAAGAGACAGCAATGAGCGATACAGGATTTTAACCACACTTCCCAAAAGTTGGTCTACATATAGAATTATGAAGGAGTTCAATGTTTCCCAACATATGGCCAACCAAGCAAAAGCACTGCAGCAAGAGAAAGGAATAATGTCGGTGCCTGTAAAGAGGTTAAGCAGAGCTTCATTAGGAGAACCAACGATAATGCTTGTTCGTGATTTTTACAATAGTGACGATATAAGTCGTGTTTGTCCGGGGAAAAGAGATTATTTAATATCTAAAAATGATGAAGGCGAAATCTACATACAAAGAAGATTAGTTTTATGTAACTTGCAGGAGGCGTACTCCATCTTTAAAAATACATATCCTGATATTAAAATAGGATTTTCCATGTTCGCCAGTAACCGTCCGAAACACTGCATTTTGGCAGGGACAAGTGGCACGCATACCGTACGCGTTTGTATATATAATCAGAACGTTAAACTTATTTTTAAAACACTACAAAGCAGACAATCACTCCCAGATGGTGTTGATTCCTATCACGATTTGTTTAAAAAAATAATTTGTCAAAATCCAAGTGAACAATGCTGGCTGCAGTGTTGCAAAAATTGTTCAGGAACGCAAATTTTGGCCACAGAACTAATGACTATTCTTAGTAACGGACATGTTGAATCAATACAATTCAAACAATGGCGTCAAGTAGAGAGATGCATTATGGACTTAGTTGAAATGGACACACAGGAATTTATTGATACTTTTTTAGAAAAATTATTCAATTTATTGCCGCATAACTTTATAGCTGAGCAACAGGCAAATTACATGAAACACGTCAAAAGCAATTTGAAAGCTACAGAATGCATCATAATCTGTGATTTTTCGGAGAATTATTCTTTCGTTGTGCAGGATGCAGTTCAAGGCTTTCATTGGGCGAACGCCCAATGTACTATTCACCCTTATGCTATTTATTTTAAAGACGAAGAATCTAATGATTTGAAATTTACTAGTTTTATTGCAATTGCTGATTTCACTAAACATAATCATGTCGCAGTTCGTTTATTTCTTACGCATTGTCTAGCGTTCATAAAATGTAAATTGCCAAGCTTACAACAGATTTACTTTTTCTCAGATGGATCAGGAAGCCAATATAAAAATAAGATGACCGCTTTTAATTTATGCAACATGCAAAAAGATTTTGGCATTGCTGCCGAGTGGAATTTTTTCGCAACTTGTCATGGAAAGGGCCCTTGTGATGCTTTGGGAGGAGTATTAAAACGAAACGCTGCGAAAGCGAGTTTGCAAGGCCACCATATAACAACGGCCCAAGAACTTTACTCATGGGCTATTTCTAAGCCAGATTCAAAAATACACTATCAGTTTTTTTCGGAATCCGATTACAATAAAATGGAAAGAAAATTGAAAAACCGTTATATACATGTGAACCAAATTTCGGGGACACAGTCATTCCATAGTTTTAAGCCTCAAAACGAAAAGTATATTATTGTCAAACGGTATTCATTTTCAACGGAAGAAAAATGTGTGAAATTGTAATTAAAGAAAATAAATGCTTCATGTTTTACTTATTTTTCTTCGACCTCGTCATTATTTGTAGCATTTAAGTACTTCTCCCAGAATTTTGATACCAAAATTAATAATGTCAAACTGGGGCCTGTTTTAAAGCCACGAAGACTTCAATGGGGGAGGGGAGTCCAGCCACAGTATACGCTCGGTAAAAATATTTTAAAATTTTAGTAAAGTATACGAGGGGGAGGTAGGATCTGCAATGTTTAAAAATTGGTCTACGTGGTTTATGGACAGCCTCCAGGCTGAACTGAATGTTGCACCCAGCTTGTAAGTTACTCATAGATTTCATTAGTCACAGCTGCTGTGACTCGATGGAGACGCATTGTGAACTACCTTGCGTCTTCATCGTTTCCATGCACGTGTGGTGCATATATTGCGGAACAATAATTTTTTATTTAAAAAAAAATGTATCTCCAAAACTGCTTCTTTGACATCGCTAATTTTTGATATTGAATGTAAAATTAAATGATCTTTCAATTAAAAATACTAAAATAAGAAGTTGTTGAAGACCCTCGCAGTGAAAATCAAGAAAAAGCATTTGTAACATATTTTTTTCCTACAAAATCAAATATCTCTGAGTGTTTCATAATTTTTCTTAAAACTACATTAAAACATCTTTCATTTGAAGGGTCAATCGTAAAAATCGGTCAAGAGGTTCAGAAGTTATAAATTTTTGAAAAAAGACATTTTTGAAAAAAAAATGATTTTTCGGACCACCCTAACACGGAAATGGTCACCCTAATGGTGCCATAAAAAAATACGAGTCTAATATTTTTTGATAAGGAAGAACTATACCAATTTTCATGAAATTCTGAGACCCACTATAACTTTTTTCTATGGAATTGCTGTATATATATATACATATATATCCTTATATAAGGAAAAACCACTTAAATGTTTAGGGTTTTGGACGCTTTTGAACCAAACAGTTCTAAAAGTAGTGTATATTTCTGTTACTATGATGCACATAAATGATGCGTCATATGGCATACGAGTTTACATTATATGTCGTGTAAATTTAAAATAATCCAAAAATTTTATGCAACCATCCATCTTTGTAAGCTATATTTCTTGCAAGTAGCTAGTTTACGTGAAAAGAATGTTTACATGCATGCATGGATCACCATTAAAATTTATTTTTTGTATGCATAGTGCAATGGCACGCAGTTCTTCGCCGAGGCTTCCTTGTAGATGGTCCAACTAATGTCCATTTGTTTTTATTTATTAAAATTACAGGTAAACCTAAGTATAACTGTCACTTTTGATTTTTCTTTTCTTTTATTATAGTCACTTTAAAACTTTGCGGTAACTCATGACTTGTTACTTTTGATTACCATAGACGATCAAATTAACATTATTACCAATAGATGAGGGATTGTCACGTGATTGAAAAGTTGTTTGCTAGAAATTGGCGATAGGAGTGGAAAGTGACAGTTACGTTATATCGAAGACAACATACAACTTGATATAATGTCTTCGGTTATATCGAGACCAAACCTGTGATCATGGTGTCCCTGTAACCATTATCATGTTGTTATAAATAAAACTGTCCATTAATTTAGTGTATACCAGTTGATAGAGTCATATGTAAAATAAAACAGCAAAAAAATGTTATCTTCCATTTAATTCAACTTAATTAACTTTGGTATCCATGACAGATACGTATTTCGACTACAATGTGCAGTCTTCATCAGTGTCATTTCCACTTAAGAACTTATCAAAATCTAACCCCCTGTGCGTTTTTATTTTTCTAAAAATATTGAGAAAAAATATCAAAAATCAAAGAAAATTAGTTTCTTTCTTAGATTTTTGTCAAAAATAACATGTAAAAATATTTTTCCTATCTCATCATGAAATAAAATTTGACTCTCAAAAAAACCGATAAGTCGATGTTTTGTGGTTTTTTGAGTCCAAATTTATGCCATAATGACTTATAAAAATTGTTTTTGCACGTGAATTTTTTTTGAAAAAATATAAAAAAATGTGATTCTTTTAGATTTTTGATACCTTTTTTCAATATTTTAAGAAAAATCAAAACGTAATTATTTTTTCCGGAGCGGTGATCTTCTTGATTTCGTTTCACGCGGTGATCTTCCCCTTAGGCATTCAGCTAACAACCCAATTTTATAACACACCATCGACTGGAAATGCTTTCGCAACGTGGGGCTTTAGGTAGTGATGAAAACGTCGCTAGAACTATTCCACAGCCGCAGTCAGTTTATGAGCAAAAAGAGGGACGCACATTTTTGCCTGTGGACTTGGAGACATACTTCAAGTCCCCGCGGCCGCGTACATCGTACGGGATAGGCAAAAATGTGCGTCTATCTTGAAAAACTGTCGCATTAATGGCCCTTCGCTCATTTTCAACTTCTATTCAATTTTCATACTGCCGTACTCTAACGGAACTATCCACCTACCCTCTTCTAAAGATCATTCTCTAGCTTATAAATTATCACACTTAAGCTTCATGTTAGCATTTCCAACCAACTCTGAAAATCACTAACTTCGCGTATGAAGTAACATAAAAACACTTTGAACCCAATTTCATTACTTCAAAAGAGTCATATGGTCAACCTACGTATTCGCTATTAAAATCAAAATATCCCTTATGATGAAATATCGCGACTTTAACATTTTAAGCGATTTTCCCCTGAAGCATCGATTATCAGAATAATAATAAAATTTGAGTGTCGCGTTGCTAAAATCGAACACTCCCTGTACATTCTTATAGGAAACTTGCAGAATTTCATCTTATGGCAAGGTTTGTAAATACAAAATAATATTTAAAAATATGTATGTTGAATTCGAATTGAGCTAAATTTACAAAAAATCTGATCGAATCGTTTGACCTGTTTCAAGATGTACAATACAACTAAGTAAAAAAAAAGAAATATAAGCAAACAAATAAACGTTACCTGCATTCCGATTACAGCGTAGATGAAAAAGAGCATCACTATCAGAAGTGCTACATAAGGAAGCGCTTGGAAAGATTTAATGAATGTCCACAACAGTGTTCTTATGCCTTCTCCTCGGGCCAATAATTTTACCAATCGCATTACACGAAACAACCGGAAGAAATTGATTGATATGATACTGGATCCTCCCTAAAAAAACATGATAAAAGAAAAATCAAATACTGTATTAGGCAGATACATGACGTGAAACATGATTGGACACTTTTTCGTGTATGAATATTTGTATTGATGAAAATGAGTTGATTTCGTTTCACGTATCATTGTGTAACGTTGAAAACAAACATTTTTTAACAATAGCTCTCCGCATGCTTACCTTCATACCTTTACTAACATTAACTTCTGAATAGACAATGTCAATGAAACTACCCAGAACGATAATAAAATCGAATACGTTCCACGCATCTCCAAAATAATTCTGAAAAAATTAAAGAGATAATACATTTCGAGCTCCTAGATTGTGAAATGGAAAATCTACCTTAAATCTAAATGCAGCTAGTTTGAATACGAATTCTAATGCAAAAACCGCAGTGAATATTAAATTAAGCAAATCCAAGACTTCTGTGTATATTTCGGGCTGGCGGTAAAATTTCATAGAAAGGGTGATGGTGTTGATCATAATTAAAATAAAGATCATATATTCAAATGGCTGCGATGTGACGAACCACCAGACTTTATATTGTATCCTGTGCTTTGGAATATACCGTCGTATCGGTTTGGCCTTCAGAGCAAATTCAATACAGTTTCGCTGGTTTTTATCCAGATCGCAATTTTTATACTCCTGTTCACCTTCGTTTTGGAATGTAACAATAACGAAACCAACAAATATATTAACCATGAAGAAGGCAATAATGATAATATATATAATATAATAAGCTGCCACTATTGGTCTGAAGTTGTGGATAGGCCCGGAATCCTCCTCGTGGGAATCTATTGAAACGTATAACAATCTGAAAATATATACAAAAATTCATCATTCTATTTTACAAGTTATCTTCAGTCAACATACCCAGGCCATCCTTCAAACGTAGAAACAGTGAACAACGTAAGCATTGCTTTCGAAACATCATCGAAATGGAAACGATTTTTCGACCACTCACGTTCCTTAGATACAGGTCTATCTACATTTCCATCCTCAAATACCAAATATGTCCCACTGTAATAATAAAACTGTTATTATAGTCAATTATTTGCATGTTAAAATCTACTTACTGGCACTCGGATTCTTGCATTTTTGATCCATCCGAACAAGAGAAAAATTTTCCCTATGAAATAACATGGATAAAGAAAAAAGTCTTTTTTAGTCATACAATATTTTTTACTTATTGGTATATAAAGTACCGCTCACGTTTATTTATTGTATCACACTAATAATCAATCGATCAACATGTTTGTTTAGAAAAAGATAAACAACAATGACGCTCAATCATTCAACAAAGTTTTATACATCTTTATAGTAAAGCATTCGAAACACTCATAAAACGCTGTTAGATGCTAGTTAGGTTCACATTATTGATTAAATACTACAGAAAAGCATTAATAAACACTCAAAAATACAAACCGTATACACAGAACTTTCAACATTGAATATAAAAAAAAACTTATGTAGCAGAGCAGTTCCACGCCAAATGACGAATCGATCTGACGCGACATTCTCCGATTTGCATGAAACATTGCAACAATTGTTTGCTACGGTCAATCATTCACATTTGAGTTAAAATTCGGCGATGTTCATTCTTCCAAAAATTTCAAAATGGCTTCTTCGATATTTTTCAACAAATAATAACTCGAAAACACCACTTTCCATCGAATTGTCGTCTGAAAAATAAATAATTCCTCTTAAGGATAAATATACATGGTAAAAAAAATTAAAAAAATGTTTAAAACTTAACTAACAAAAAAAAAATAACCCCCTTGAATATTTTTGAATATTTTTCATTCAAAAGTTAAGTTCAGTGAAATTTTCAAAGTTGGACACATACAAATTAACAAAAATCATAGAACAACAACTTATGGACAAGTTTTTTAAAATTCATATTTTTGCAAATTCTAGGATGATTTCTTGGGCAACGACCTAAGGATTGCATGTCATTGTAACATTGTAACAAGTAACATTTTAAGTTTTATGAAATACTACAAAGCAACTATAAAACAACATTCATAAAACTCTGGTCAAGGCTGTTTTGTCATTAATGCATCCACCAAAACCTCATTAAGACTAGAATATGTCTAGCTGGCCCACTCTGGAGAAGGTTCTGAAGGGTGTATTCTCGAAGCTCTTCAAGATTGATTTACTGCAAAAGGTTACAACAAAAGCTATTCAGCAACAATAAAAACCCTTTCCGAGCCATTTCCCCTAGCTTCTTGCTAAATCCACTATGAAAGCATCAATCAAGATAGAAAAGGATTTATGAATCCAATCTTATTAAAGCAATTAAAATAGAAACTGATGGTATGAAAATCTTGTTGAATATCCAAATTTATTAAAATAGTTCTCATTATGTGGCCTAGTTTTAAGTGTCTTATTACATTTTATGTGAAAAAAAGAAGTGCGGCTTCGTAAAACGTCGACTTGACTAATTATTTTGCATTCAAAAAAATTAATTATTTTTTAGATCGAGCTAGACCGAGATTGTTTTAATGATTTTCGCATTTAAATGTTTGCTCATTGCTAAATTTACCAAAATACAGTTATATCCAAGGAACTATAGATTGAAAACCGAAGATTGTAAAAAAAACTAGCAAACTAATTGTAACATGGCGGAGGCATAAAAGTTGATCTTCATGGGTCATTTGTGAAAAAGTTGTTTTGCTTTCAATAAATCCCTAACAAATTCAAAAGGTTTAAAAAAGGCTTCTATGAAGAAAACTTGCAGGCTGAATTGTATTTATCTAAAGCCATTTTGCTTGATCCTAACCCGTTCAGATTTATGGCAGCACTTATGGAGGCAAAGTTGCCTGCAAAAAGTTAAACGTCAAAGTTTGATTATCTTTCGATATTTAGTTGCGCTGTGGGATCCAGGGTTCTTCCAGACGGTTTTCTCCCGATGGAGCAGTTACTCAGATAGTTTGCGATACTGTTTTGCAACATTTCGCATTTCGAATAACTGGAAGCGCAATCATTCCCGAAAAAGATTCCCTTCTTCCGGATGGTTACAGAAGTGCACCATCCAATGATGCAGTGATGTACGCTGGAATAAAATTTTCGAAGAGTTGATTCTTTCGCCGAATAAAATCGCTGCTTTGGATCGGAAACCAGCTAATCTCCGCTAACTACCAGTTTCAGTGGTTTACTGTCAATTGTTATTTCGATTGGCAAATCAAAGTTGCCCCTCGTGGAGAATAGAAGAACTATGAAAGTGATGATGGTTTCAAAATTTTCCACGTGAAGGTATACGAATGCAATCTTAAAATGCTTTTATTTTTCAAATGGAGCATTTTATTTAAATCTGGTTTCTGCTATAGTGGTAGAAAAGCTGAAATCTATGTTTACACTTAAAAATCTAAAAAGAAATTATATTTTCTATATTATACGTCTATTGAGTAGTCCTTAAGTTTTCTACTAACGTAGCATTAACCAGATTTAAATAAAATGCTCCATTTGCAAAACAGAAGCATTTTAAGATTGTACTCGTATACCTCACCGTGTAAAATTTTGAAACCATCATCACTTTCATAGTTCTTCTATTCTCCACGAGTACCAACTTTGATTTGCCAATTGTCATCGCAAGATCTGGAGAAGGCTGGTATGTTTTTCAACTTTCGACAATGTTTTATGAGTCTGAGGGCCCCGCTCACTTTACTCTTCTCCGCTAGATGCTCAGTCGTGCATGGTGTGCTAGTTCTTCTAAAGAAGTAAATTTTGCTGAAATTGACTTGATTTTTTCATCCTACTTCGTCTATCCTTCGAGATTTCCTTGCATAAATTTGGTTTTTATTAACTATGAGGAACCATCTTTTAAGCTCAATTTGTAAGCAGAGTAATTGGGGAGTTTATGATGCACTTTAAAAAGCCTAAAAAGCAACAATAAATGTTTTTTGCTCTTATGCAAAACCTAATGGTTTTACGGTTGCTTTTATAATGATAGAACACGTTTATAAAGTATTTTATCAAGACATTAATAAACAATTGCTAATGACGTTTTTGCTTGAATTACAGAGCAGTTTTGAAGAGGGATTTAGAACTGTTTTAAATTTAATTTCAAAACAAGACAGTGTTTGACTTTCTTGCCAGACTATAAAAGGTTTTTAAAACAGCAAAAAGCTGAATTACTAAGCAGGAATGTTTTACACTTTGAAATGCTGTATTTGTACTAAATGGATTGATCATTGCCGTTATAAAACCATCATAAATCAGAGTGGATGGCAAATGGTTACTGAATTGTCACTTGCGAAAGAAAAATGTCAGGGCCTTCATTTCGAATATTTAGAATATTTGGCGGCCATATTGAGCTTTGCCATCATATTGGATTTTGACGATGAAATTAGTTTTTCATAAGCTTTTCCCAACAATTTATATACATAGCACGCCATTTGAAACTTTTTCCTTTAGGGAAACCTTTTCGAATACTACGCAAACATTAAGATTTTTTGCATGATTTTTTATGAATATATTTATTTAAGAGAAAGTTTGAACATACTGAGAGGTAAGCACATATCATCGGTAAGAGACGTTATTTAAATCATTCAATAATTTTAGAAGAAAATTCTGTAGCCGTGTACTTTATTCTGTTGACAAATCTCAGTAATTTCAGCACCATCGAGCAGTGATAAGTTCTACTGGAATATCAGTTATTGGGAAATCAATTAAACATTTTGATTTCTCTAAGAAAATTTTTATTGAAAAATTATTGTTTGCAAAATTTCAAGAATAATTAGGAGAGAGGCTCTTACTAGCGAGATAACTAAACAAAACTAGAATTTTCGTTTGAAGCTCTTAAAAAGAGGCAAAAAAGTTTATAAACATGAACAATTGACAGCTTTCGATACCTGTACCATTTATGGATTAGTATAATTGTGTGGCAAGTACAGTCATACTCTATGCCCAGAGAAGTCGTCAAATTTTCCAACCTTAAAAATTCGTAGACTGGACCGGGAATCGAGCCCAGGATGGTCTTGCTTTGTAGCTGCGTCTTTACTGACTGAGCTAAGGGAGGCCCGGTTATGCTGTATTTGGCTTTTTTATGTCTCTTTAGTGAGCCTAATACCATAGAGGTAACTCTAAGACCACTGGGTCCCGAAGAAAATCATTATTATTTTTGGCTCACTGAGTACCAGAACAACGGTCCCAAGCAGTCCCAAGCTATTTCACTCACCCCTGCATGTTCTGCATGAATCCACACACCCCTGATGTTATCTGTCAAACTTTCATAGCGAATCAAAACAAACATAGTGTAGTAATAGAGTTTCAACTAGAATAGGGTACGTTAATCGTTTGCTTGGGACCAATAGGCTACTAAAGTGGTGAGCCAATTTAAAATCGTTAGTTTCGTATTGATTGTTGCTAATACCAACAATCAATTCGAAACTAACGATTTTAAATTGGCTCACTACTTGACTAGCCTATTTGTCCCAAGCAAATCGATTAACGTATCCCATTCTAGTATAAATTCCAGTACTACACTATGTTTTTTTTGATTCGCTATGAAAATTTGACAGATAAAATAAGGGGTTATTGGATTTTCCTAAGTTTCGAGGGGTGAATCGATTAGCTTGGGACCGAAGATAGTACCAGAGCTGAGCCAAAAAGTTGAGCTCGTTTATTCGGGACCTTCTGGTCTTAGAGTTACCTCTATGGTGGTACTGTTTACGTGGACTTAGTTGATTTTTTCTAGGGTAGATTTTCTCGATAATTTTTCAAACTGCAGTGAGATGTAAACGACGCTTCTGCACTGTCCACGAGCAACATCATTTCCCGCGCTGTTCCTCAAGGAGTGCTTCTTGTTTGGATGGCATATGACCTGTTCCCATACGTACTTGTTTGCTTTTGCTGTATTTTGCTGCAGCTTTCTGTCCAAGTTGCTATAAGAGGGGGTCTAGCAACCGTTGGAAACAAACGATTTTAAATTGGCTCACTACTTGACTAGCCTATTGGTCTCAAGCAAATCGATCACCGTGCCCCATTCTAGTCAACATTCTAGTACTACACCCCTCATTTTATCTGTCAAACTTTCATACCGAATCAAAACAAACATAGTGCAGTACTGGAAGTTCGACTAGAATGGAATACAATACGTTAATCGATTTGCTTGGGACCAATAGGCTA